TTGCAGTACTTAACAAAATCATATATTCTTAAGACAGGCAGCTGAGGAGTATTACTGTGCTGTGTAGTGTTAATGTATCTTTATATTGCTTGGAAACCTTATTAGAACAGCCACATTTCATTTTTAAAGATTAGTATTCATATATTCACTAAATAAAGCCAGAGAGACCAAAAGAGCTGGTTGGTTAATCTGTAGAACCACAGCAGTTTGTTGCTGTTTTTGTTTGCGAGGCAGCTCATCAGCTCATAGATGTGACAAAGCGGTTCAGATTAAAGGAGGATTTGGGGGCAATGGCTCCATTTCCCTCTGCAGCCACAAAAATAGATTTTACTGTATACAGCTGTAGCTCACACAAGTGAAATCTTTTCTCACTTTTCACCAAATTTTGTTATTTTTCCCTTGACAGGCAATTTTTAAGCTGATTCCCAAAGAAGAGATGGAAAAGTTGCCTGAAGATGAAAACACAGCTCAGAAGAGGGCGGATAAACTCTGGAATTATTTTGACAAGGGTGACAACGGTAAGAAATAGTGAAGACGTATATGGACATTGGATATGGACAGATAAGTAGATCACACTTGCAATAGTGAAAACACAGGTTTAGAAATAAATCCCTGAGGAATGTGACAAATCTGGTAGTCATAGGTTAGGCTACTGGATTGTAATACTATCAAAGTAAATGACATTCCTCAATTACACAGTTTGTATTTGCAATGTCTTTTAAGTGTATCTATGTTTAATGTCCATCTTTGAAGACTTCCTTTTAGTTTTTGATATTACTCCAAATAAACAACTAATAAACTATAAGAAACTTTTTTTTTCTCTTTGCAGACCGAATTGCAGAAGGAGAGTTCATCCAGGGAGTTTTGGACAATGACGATGCTCTTCGCTTGATTCAATACTCACCTTTAAAGTAGCTGTTCAGACATTTTCACTGTATATTTCTCTAGTTCTGTCACTGTCTTTTTTTGTCCACTTCACCTGACAGCAATTTCACAAAACATGAACACATTGTAGGTGTGATGATAATGACCAGCTGGTCTAATTTAAACAATGACACAGAACCTCTTGAATGGTTTTATAAAATTTATTGTATACCCATATGTGCTGTCTAAGTTATTTACAGCACATAAATGTTGAGGAAAAAAATGGGACAAACTGTAAGCATTTCAAATTTCAAAGTATCACCGGTATGTGTCTACCATACAGACAACATCCCCTCTTAAACCTGTGAACAAAATTTTACAGCATGTAAATGAAATGTCCATCTTCTGATCACTTCTTCCACATTTAGAAAGTAAGTATTTAATTTGAATTTCTTAAGAAGATGAAAGCTACAAAGTGTCATTCAGAGTAGCCAAAATTATTACTACCACACGTTATGTTCTACCTCCTTTTCTAACCCAAACCAAAATATAGCCCACGGTGTAACTACAGTAAATGCAGGAGGTTTCCATTATCCTGGTCTAATTTCATGTCTTTTACATTCTTTATTGTATCCATATGTCACAGTCTTAAATGTTCAATGTCCTAGTTAAGTGTTGAATATGGAGAATAGACTTGTTATTGTGAGACAACATGTGAAATCAAGTCTTGATCCTGTACAATACACTGAATAAAACATGTTGGAATTGTAATAAAATGTTATTATCAAAAGTCTTTTTTATGTCGATGTAAATCTAATCTAAAAACTGTGATTTCCTCTTAAAATTAAGAAATTAACAAAATAACAAAAACATTGTTAACTGGAAAATGGCTTCTGTAACATTAAAAAAAAAAATAAAAAATTTAGTACACAAACATGCAGATTTTGATTGACTGATGCATGCCACCTAATTGAAGTTTATATTTTTTTGTTCAAGTCTGCATTTTGTTCCTTTTTGCCACATCATAACAAATTTACTCTCTGAAAAGGATTTGGCTTTACACATCTGTAGTTCAAGTCATAGTGATGTAACTCCACTGTTGATGATCCACAGCTAAGTATGCAGTACTTGCACAAAATGTCAAGACAAAGTTAATAAAGCAACCATGACAATATTGCCATTTTTTCTTTATTAGAGCGTGCTCGAAATGAAGAAGTGAAGAAAAAATGTCAATCTGTAGTTGCTGAAGTATTCCACTGCTATTTACACAGCTGCACAGTTTTTGTGTCACAAACAGCAAATGTGCTGAAGTAAGTGACAACTAAATTTCTTGTTAATGACTGTGTCTCTTTATTATTACATCCTTTCCCATTTATCTTCTCCCATATATATTATTTGATGACTTAAAACTTAATAATGCATTATCTGTAACTGTGCTACCAAAAAAAGAAGAACTACATTTGAAAAATAAAAAACCCTAAAAAGCAAACCAAAAAAACAAAACTATTTATAGTACAATCCTTGTATCCCGCTGTGAATAATTCAGATTTAACCTGTTAGCAGTCGGACGTACCGCCCACGGTACATTGGATGGTTTAGGGGACTAATTGGACTGCTAAGGGGTTAACGAATCCTTGGTGTTCTCAGTATGGTCTGTAGATAATCCAAAGAAACAAGTATTACTGTGTGGATTTTTAAATACCTCGGCATCAAAATCTCCTCTTTTATGTTGCTGCAGTAGCAGAAATTTGTCACCAAACCAAACTGATCAGAAAATCACCATGATCATATTTTATCTACAAATAAGAGCCAAATCCTTCATGCATGCATCTCCAGATGTCCTGTTTAACAGTGGACACTTTCTTAAATTACACAAGACACAGAAGTGTCTGCATAAAAGATTAATGTTGTTTCATAAGAAAAAAGACCTACTTTCTTGTTCTAGTTTCTTAGAGACATCTGCCTTACTTTTTTTATTCACTTCAAGTCACAGAAGAATAAATTTACTTCAGATGCTTCCTTCAAAAACATGTTTGGTGTCTGGGAACCTTCAGGTGTTCCCAAAATGTTCAAAATGAAACGTGACACAGGTTTGTTTATGCAAATTTATACAAATTTTAAAAAGCCTCTAATTTGTATATGTTGTTGGTTGTGGAACTGTTGCATAATTCAACTGTTTATATACATTTTAATTACTCTCCACATACTGCTCAGAGACCTTACAGTTGACTTTTATCTGTTTCTGTCCCCGCATGATGTCAAGCTCTCTCTCTCTCTCTCTCTCTCGTTCTCATTCCCCTGATTGCAGAGATTACTGACATAATCTTCTGTCCAGCATTTGAAAGCATCTGTCTGAACATCCAAATCTCTCTGTGAATGTAATTGTTGATCCTTCTTTTTTCTTTCTTTCCTCGATCTACTGTATCTGTGTCTGAGGAATCCAAATGAACCATTAACAGGTATTGGTTCTGCAGATATTTGATTCTATTCAGCAAGTTAAAACTTGGATTTTTAGATGGTTCTGAGTGGAAGGTAAAGTGATCACCAAAGTAATTAATGTTTTATAAATGTTGCCAGTTGTTTATTTAAATATTTAATACAATATATGAAGGTAGATCTCATAATAGCAAGAAGAAAAAAAGTCACAATAATTCCAAAGTGAGTAGAAATCATCCGAAATTATTTCAAGGTCAAGGTCAATATATGTAACATGTCAAAGCCAAGCTAAAGACCAAAAAATTAAAAATCGTAACTTTTTGTTTAAATGTAAAAGCAGATGTATTTTTTGCCTTTATTTATTTTCTGTGTATTTTGACTTAAAGATGTCAGCGAGTGTTGGTTCTTTAATTTATTGTAGTGATGTAGTTACATTGCAAAAAGATAAATACGCTTGCAGCATCTTCATAAATGATAAAAACTGATAAAAAACTCTGATGTCAACACTAAGTTTACAAGACAGCATTGATCACAGTATACCCCGTTATTGCCACAGGCTAAAGACGAGCCACGTCACACCCAAATATTTCAGACAAAATAGTGGGTTGATTATTTCCAGTTTATTCTTCAGAAATGTAAATAAACTACATTTTTCTGACAGTTTTGAGAAATATCTGCAGGTTTAGATGACAAACACTCGAAATTCTGGTTCTTCTTGATTTCATCGATGCAAATATACATTACCTTGGAGCTGTAGCTCTAGCATGAATGAAGCCAATGTGGAAATACCAAAAACCTGCGGTTCGGGTGTCCCAGTGGACCCGCGCATACTGCTGGATGCAGAAGG